AGTCAGTCCCTAATATTCTATCGGACCCGAATTTTATTTCCGTCGGCAGGTCGACAGACTAAACTTTTTTATTTGAAATTACGTCCACCTGTTCCAACTTGTTTTCACTATCACTCTCCTTGATTCTAAAAAGGAAATTAATTTTTATGTACCTAAACTGATTTAACGCTTAAACCGATTAATCTAAAAATTAACACGGAAGCTAACGCAAAAAAAAATTTTTATCGCTTTGCGTACATAAAAGATGTGGAACGTTTTATACACAAACACAATTGAAAAACTGACGTTGATTAATGCGGGTAGCTTCAACTGAGACGTATTCTCATTGTGGCGGTATTTGTAAAATGTTAGCGATTGTTCATGTCACTGATAAACTCTCTGATAAAATGTTCTTTTACAGATGATTTTTAAAAATTTCGTTTTTTTCTTCCTGAGTACTCAAAGGCTTTAGGGTTTTAGGATGTTTAATTTACTGTGCAGGCTGCTTTCAAAATGATAATGAATAAAGGGGCTAGTAATGGTGTATTAATAGAATATTAAGCTAGAAGTTTTACAAACGGCACTTTAGTCACTGGTTTGATTTGGCGGGAGCGTAGCTAATGTTCAATAAACGAATCACTCAAGAAACTTATCAAAGTGGCATGCTTTTTCAATAACCAGTAGTTTTTGGGTGCAGGGTTATTATTTACATTTGCGTATATACCTAATGGAGAAAAATGGTTAATAAAAAAAAACGGTAGCAAGTTTTCCATTTTTAAATTGTACATCCTATATATTTGCTGTTACGAAGAACGGTCATTTTCTCCTGATATATTTTCACGTATGTTGACAATATATTTCGGGATATCGTCTGTTCGTTTGTTGAACTCCGACTGGAATCCTGCAGACGTTTCGCTAAGATCTCACTTGGCATCTTCAATGCTCACACTCCGAAAACAGTTCGACCACTGGGAGGTTATCGGCGATGTGTGCGGTATTTATAGCCTGCGCCTGAGGTGGTAACGGTGCTGCTTCTGCGGCAGGAGAGACGGCTCCGCCCCCCGAATTGTCGCGTTGTTTATTTCGCCCCACCGTAGTTGCGATGTCCCTGTTGACTGCTGCATATCGCTCTGCCGTTTGATTATCATTTTCCACGTATTGGATAAATGCAGAGCGTCCTCTCGTATTTAGGTGTCCGGACTTTTCTATCTGGATGGCCTCTCGTATAATCCTGGTCCTAAAATCAGAAATGTTAGCTATTTGTTTACAAGTGCGGAAATCAATTTTATGGCCTGTCTGGTGTTGGTGCTGTCGGCGTTCCTCGAGCCTGGCTGAAATCCTCCTATTTGTCTGTCCCATGTACGTCAAGCTGGACGATTCGCGACGCCACACTATATACTCCTTGGTTTTCCAAAATATTTTTTTGTTTTGGGTGTCTTAATATTGTTCCAATGGTACGATCAGGTTTGTATGGCTCATGGTTCAGAAAATATTGATATAAAAATGATTCTTTTGACTACTCCATATTTAGTCGACCATATCACTTTCCTTGTTGACAGGTGTCTGCTGACCGGGGTTTTCCAGGACTCATGGAAGCAAGCTGAAGTTATACCCGTTCCAAAGAAAGAGTGTCCAAGTGGCATTAACGATTTTAGACCAATCACATATTTAATTTAAGATTGGCTTATTAAAATTTAACTCATATGCAAAATTTGAATAAATTTTAATAAGCCAATCTTCAGTTATTAAATTAAATATGACGGCAAAATTAAAAAAATTGTGGAATATATAGAAAAAATAACCATAATTAAGTATTATATATGAAACAGTCTCTCATATGCAAAATTTGCAAAAATGTTACCGGCTCTTTCAAAAAGCTGCATTAGAACTTTGCTGTAAAATGTACAGGGCATCCAATATTTACACATCTAAAAATTTACATGGGATTTATTATGTGTCGTTCAGCCATTCATCACCCGGTATACTAGTTTATTTAAGGTTTTTTATACATCTTGCCCAAGTTTCTCTTTGTTTTCGTTTTATAATGTGTTTTTGTTCTTATTATGCATTTCTTTACTATTCTTGCTGATTTTAACAAGTTTTCTTTTAGTAAGAAGCATTAAAATTTACATAAAATAAGGTTTTTGTATTGTTGGCATACCCTTATTTTACCCTGTGCTATTTCTGCATATGGATTCACTCAATTCTTCAATTACAAATTGAAGAATTGAGTGATTTCTATCAAAAATTTGGCTTTTCAAGTGACGATTTCTTAACAATCCAAATAAGATGGAATTTGAACAAACATTTTGCTAAATTGATTTGATTTTAAATAATTTGCGACAGTATTTAAAACTATTGAGAAAATAATAAGAAAATTATTAATACTTTGGCATTAGTATTATAGTTATGCGGTTTAGTAAAAAAATGAAAGGAAGTGGTCCTAAAACCGAGCCTTGGGGCACTCCCGTTGAAATATCGACTAGCTCTGAAATCATAATATTAACAGGTATCATCCGTTTTTTATTACACAGATAGGAACTACAAAACGAATGGGCAATACTACCTGTTCCTGACTATGCAACTTATGCCTTGCAAAGGTCAGAAAAACTAGCATCGAACCAATCTCCCCTCTTCACTTCTCTCCTAACTGCCTTAATTGTAGATTTTCCACACCTAGAACCAGATGGACATCCGGTAACCAAAACTAAAAACTCTGAACGGATAGAACTTGGGTATTTACAAGAAGAAAATATATTTTTTTTAAACTGATCAGCAAGAAAATATTTTTAACGGGAGTTTATCCACGTCATTGCAATCCTTAACATTTAACAAATACCCCCGGAAAACGAACACGTCCTAGTTCCCGTTTAACACATTAATCAACGTCAGTATTTCCGTTGCGTCTAAAACGTCCCACATTTTTTATGTACGAAAGCGGACGAATTTATTTTTTATATCAGCTTTCGCGTTAATTCTCAGCTAATCTGCTTAAGCGTGAAGATTAAGTCAACTTACGTTTTGCGGCGCCTCCGTCGTCAAAGGATCTACGCCTTCTAAATCAAAAATTAACTAAAATAAAACGCCTCTCTCTCATACGCTGATTAATCGTCCACCCCAAACTTTTCACAAAGGGTTAAGTTATATGTGTGACTTTCATAGCGTACCTTTCTAATTGTTGTTGTATTGGCCCTACTGGCATTTAATAACGTTTCGAAATCGGAGGGAAAACTGTGAGGAGGCACGCAAATCCGCTTCGTTATAACGCGGAACCGGGCTCTTGGTTATAAATTGTGCCGTTCCCTCAGATCCGTCAGTTAATTTATGCGAAAATTCCCAAAATTAATCTGAATTTACTTATTTGACGTCTGATTCGTAAATTTATCGCAAGTCATTCAATCAGCTTTGAAATTCTACTATTCAGATCGGCATTTCTTTTTCTTTCTTTTATGTGCTCCGTCTGTATTGCAGGGTGATGATATTACAAGGTAACTTGGTTACTCCTTACTTGATGAGGCTGTAGGTTGAACATCATGAATTTGGTCTTTGGGATATTGATTTTAAGACCTTGTTTTTCTCCCACTGTACCTCCATCGTATACACCAGAATCATCTGCGTATCTGACCGTTGTTTTTGTCCCCAGTCAACCTAGTCTCACTTCCGCTGCACTTCGATACTGGTTGTATCTGTATTCCCCATTATTAACAATAATAATAAACTGCGTTTATTTAAAATCAAAATTTTATAATATTCGTTATAATACAAGGGTACGCTCTTCCATGTAGAACCAAGACAGCACAGCACCACCACCATCAATAAAAGAAATAGAGGCACATCATAAACTCGTACGTTTTTGCTAGATACTGGCGGGAATACTAAACAAAAGATAAATATAACTAAGTATCATCGACGTATTGATGAGATTTACAAAGAAATAGTATCTGAATTAGTATTTCCTATAACTACTGTTTGGTATCTCTGACAAAGAAAATAAAAAAAAAAGAAAGGGCAGTACCTTTTATACCTAAGTATTTCAGTTTAGCTAAGAGAAGGAAATGATCCAAGGAGTCGAACGCTTGGCTATAGTCCAAGAGTATGAGGCAATAGATTAATTTCGAATCAGCAGCTCTCAATAAATCATGAAGCAATTCAGAAATAGTACTGTGAAGAAGTCGAGAACCCGATTAAGTGTCTAGGAGGATTTTGTTATTGCATAGGAACTGACGAAGTTGTTTAGCTTCAATTTTTTCAACAACCTTTGAGAGGGCTGACAACAAATTGATTGGTCTAAAACCGTTAATGCCACTTTCAGATCTGTTAGTTAATTTATGGGAAAAGTCTGCTTCACAAATTAATCGCCGTATAGTAAGCGATTCACTCAGCTTCAGCATTCATAGATCATTGTTCTTACTTTTATGTGCTCTGTTTGAAAAATTTCATCTCCAGATTTTCTGTGATGATACTACCGAGGTATTTGAACTTGGCTTGATGAGGTTGTCGACTGAATATCATGAATTTGGTCTTTTATATATTGATTTTAAGATGTTGTTTTTCTCCCACTGTACCAATTTTGTTCACGAGTGATTGCAATCTCTCAATTATACTCACCAGAATCATTTGCGTATCTGATCTGTTATTGTCTCTTCGTTCACTTTGAGGCCTTTGAGCCAATCTGGGGATCATCAACATCATACGAGCGCGCAAGACGCGTAGGAATGCTTTAAGCATGCGAGACATGAAGCTGGTTAAGCGATACATTACAGTTTCTTGGTTGTTGTTTTTTTTGGTAGAGCAAATTGACGGTGACCATTCAGCTGGGCAATGTGGGAAATAGAAATGGCGTCCAAGACAGGAGGGCGGGCGGCCTGACAGATCTGGGAAGCGGGACTCAAATAAAAGAAGGTTGATTTTCTGTATTTGTTCCTTTTTAATTTATTGATACAATTCGTTAATTTGAGGGTGTCGCTCATTTCGCTTAGACAGTTCCCACGCAAATATTGTAAAACATGGTTTTGTTACAGGCATTGCTACGTGGAGCTATAAGCCAACAGAGTGCTGTCATATTAATTTGCATGGCGATGGACAGATACTTCTGCATGCTGCACCCAGTCAGATATCACAAGCATTCGAGCAAGAAGGTAAGTGTAGGTAACTAAGCTGAATCCCATTTTTGGAACTAACACAACTGGAGATGAAAATTTGCTTTGTTCTTAGATAATTATTGTTATAAATCCTAGCCATTTTTTAACTCCATCCTGCAAGAGAATCAAAAATATCCGTAATATTCGGAATTGGAAATTTGTTTCAAAACGTAATATCTCTTTGTGCTTATTAATGACCTCGTTGAATTCGAATCTAAACCTGATTATTACCACGTAAAATCCGATTGGCGTTAACCTTTTGAAAAAAATCTTAATAAACACTTGTACAGTGAGAAAATTTCTGTCCCAGGTGAACTCGGATACTTCATTAAAATTTAAAATTATTCGAAGTCGCCGCAAAACCAAATTTAATCTGGTAATGAATCCGTGCCGAGTCAAAAACGCAAGCACTTCGCTGCACTCTCCGTACTCATTAAAATTTAACGAGAGAGTTAAAAAGTGGGAAGAGTGTAATCAATCCAAAGGACGCTGTTAAACGCCCCGATCTCAGAGTATTAATTGTCTCTTAGGCACTGAAAATATGTTATCACACTTGAAAGGTAGTTGAAAAGTTTCACCATAACTCCATACATAGGTTAGGTTTCTTGGGATGCAGGTCTGGTTATGGAACTGGCAAAATTAGAATACTACATTTTCTATTTGACGTTTCGGTCCAAAAGTGACCTTCCTCAGAAAAAAAAATTCTAAAAATTACATTTAAGAAAGAGATCAGTCATACAGTATAAATAAATCTGTTAGAATCAAAGTGGGAGGGCATTATATTATTATCAAATTATTAAAATTGTTGGTCGTGTACCTAGAATTTTGTTTTTCTCCTCATTAGTTTATGTTAATTGGAAAAATGATTTTTTTTAACCAATTCACCCTTGTGTGAAACAATCCAAAATAAAATGTATATAAAACGACTCACGCTCATGGAACAGTGGTTCACAAAATAATCAACACAAGGGGGTAGAAACACATCGAATTAAAATAATTAAAGTTGTTTTTTTTTATAACTTTTTTTTACCCTGTCGATTGGGACGACGCACCGCGAAATGTTTCCAAGTTTGCATTCCGTTTCGCACTGAACGACATAAAATGGTGCGATATGCGAAATATTTGGATGTACTCAGTTAGAATATTGTTGGTGTCTGTCTTGGCGTTTATAGCATCTTTGTTTTTTTGGATTTCAATCATTTCTAAGATTTCTCTTTTCTTTGTATTGTTTTTGGATTTTAGAATTTTTACTTTTTCAAAATTAAAGGAATGTTTCCTTACAACGCAATGGCTCTTCAAGGCTGTCTTATTTTTCTTGTCATATTTGTGTCCATTTAATCTGTTTTTAAGATACTGGCTTCTCTGACCAATGTACACACCCTCACAATCATTGCATGGTATTTCGTAAATGACGGGGCTTTTTTTCTCATAAGGAAGCTTATCTTTTAGATAATTAAAGTGATGTCGCATTAAATTAAAACCTTTATGTGCGACAGTAATGTTATTGCTTATGAAAATCTTGTTGAGATTTTCCGACATACCCGGCATATAGGGCAAGGAGAGGTAATTTTTTTTTCTTTGGTTTCACCTTTATTATTTTTAAGTTGATTTTAATTATAAAACAGGTTTATGCGTTTCTTAAATATGTTATTTACTATTTTTTCAGAGCAGTTATTTAATTTTAGTGCCTGCTTCGCTTTGGTTATGGATGTCCTTCTCAAGGCAGCATCAGAAAGCCTAATAGATCGGTCAGCCAGTCCAATAATAATGACTGACTTTTTTTGGGCTATGTGATGTTAAAATCAACACATCCAGATGACCAAGTTTCTTTAGTGTACCAGTTTTAATTGATCCTTGCAAATTGTGTAGGGTCATATCAAGAAAGTTAATTTTTTGTTTTTTTATTCAACCCCGATTGTGAATTGTATTTTTGGATGATACAGTCGTACAACCTCGTTTTGTTTTCTCTTACGTATTGCCATAATGCAATCGTCAACGTATCTGTAAAAAAATGGAATGTCAAAAGTGATACCACTTAGTATTGATTCTTCCAGATTCTCCATCACAATTTGGGCGATAGTCCTAGAAATTGAGGCTCCCATAGCGCAACCATCGATTTGTTGGTAGAATTTTTTATTGTACGCGAAGTATATTGAATTTATGGTTACTACGACTGCCTGTAAAAAGTCATCGAGCGGAATGTCTGATGGTTTTAATTTTGCTCAAAGTATATTAGGTTTCTTGGGATGCAGGTCTTGTTATGGAACTGGCAAAATTAGAATACTATATTTTTCATTTGACGTTTCGGTTCAATGTGACCTTCCTCGAAATAAAATAACCTAAACATTACATTTAACAATATAGGATAAATCTTACAGCCAGTTAGAGTCAAAGTGGGGGAGCATTATATTATGTTCTTTTTTATATTATATACTTTTTCAAAATTAAAAGGATGTTTCATTCAGCGTTGGCTTGCCTGACCAATGTATACACCCTCGCAATCGTTGCATTGGTCACTAAACATTTTAAATGTAACTCCTTCATTAAGAAACTTTTATCGCAAGCAAACTGCACCTTAACAAAAAAAACCCGACAATGTTTAGTGGGAAAATGTATTGAATTCGAATCTTTTATAGTTGTATACAGTGTATTAAGGAATGTACACCCTTATTTTATTTTTTAATATCACATTAAAACAATAGCATAAATAAAAATTAGCTAGTGAATATGACCGTCGAATATTCCTAAAAAGTAAAACCAAAGTTTTGGTTAGTTGGTTAGTGTATTTTTCCTACAAGTGGGAGTGTCATCATATCTGGATTTTCGGAAAATTCTATTAAAAAAATATTGCACAATTCGGATCCTAAAAAGGACCCACTCTCAAAAATTGCCCACTTTTGTCCAAACCTCTTAGTATTCTCTTTAATAAATGTCTAGGTCAAGGGACGTTTCCAAAAAGCTGGAAACGAAGCTAATTATCATCCTATCTGTCTCTTATGTTACATTGCCAAGATTTTTGGGGCTACAATTTATTCACAGTTGTTCTTTCTGGTAAAAAATAACATATATCCAAATCAACACGTGTTCACAAAAAACGTTGAGTTCTTATAAACTTGGTACCGTTCATCCATGACATGAATTTTTCCATGCATAACGATTTTGAGACGTCCACTGTATGCAGCGATTTTTTCAAGGATTTTGTTGTTGTCAATGGTAAAAAATCTCGTTGTGCAATTGTTACTTCTGGTATCCCCCAGGGATCTCATTTGGGTCCTTTACTCTTCAATGTTTTTGTTTTCTATGTTTCGATGTTTTCTGGTTTCTATTCATGCTTCTTTTGCTAATAATTTAAAACTAAAAGAAGATATTCGTTCACATTTAGATGTATTGGAGACAGATCTGCTCATAATTGAAACCAGAGATTATTTTTGAATCTTGATATTCTACTTACAAAGAAAAATGGTTTTATAGATATTAACTTTATGCTTGATAATAAACAGCAGAAAAAAGTTAAGCAAATAAAAGACTTGGGAAGTGTTCTTGGCTTTCAGTTAAACTTTGAGGCTCATATCGAAATTATTGTCAAAAAACGTTCATTTTGAGAACTACCAAAGGATTCACAAGAAGCATCAGTCAGTAATAATCGTGTACAATAGCATAAGGACTGTGCTAGAGTACTCGTCTACAGTTTCAATTCCTATTATATATTATATATTATAGTAAATAGCATGCATACAAAAAAACTTTTTAACAACTCTAGATACAACAGAGACCTACAGTTCTACTCGTACGAAGAAAACTTAAAATTTTACCGTTTAAGGTTACTTAAAACTCGAAGAAACTTTTTTGATGTTGCTCTTCTTTACAATGTTGTAAATAATTTTGCGGATTCTTCTTTCCCGTTTTTTTTTTCTTTCCAATTTCGTCGACGTAAACGCGGTACTTTAAATTCCATCCTAGCCGTATTACAAATGAGCAGCGTCAGCAACGGTGCTAACAGATTTCGACTGCCGAGTAAGAGTTTATGTAAATAGATGGCAAATAAAAGGAAATCGAAACGGCACGGATAATCGTCCGGAAAATCGTTTCATTCGGACCGAAAACCTGATTTGAATAATGCCTACACTTCTGTTAGATCCCTGCATCTTTAAGAATATTTCTGTTATCTGACTTTATTGCTTCACAAAATGTTTCTAACGGCAATGTTTATTTAAAAAACACAAAATGTGAATGTATAAAAATCACTCGAGCACTAACAAAGTCCTTTCGTGTGCCAATTCCTAGAAATCGCAGTAATCTGTTAATTTACGCACACCAGATACTGCATCTTCATCGATAAAATCTTTACAGTTTAACAGGAATGAATTTAGATTCGGATTAAGCGTCTGACTCGAATGGGACGTTCTCAATGTCAAACAACGATTCGAAAATCCTTTTTCTATTTATGAAAACGTTCAACTGTTACAACTTCCTGGTTCAATATTAGAAACAGAAAAAAATGCATGCACTAATAAATGAACTGCTTAATACGACCCCCACTTTGATCAATACCTGTAAACAAAATCAGAAAAGTTGCAATAAAACAACGATGACATGAATTTTATTTATCCGAAAGATAATCTTGTGGCATTACATTTTAAATATGTAGTCCAATCTGGACGTCCAATTTTCGATGACTTTTTCCAACATTTGTGGCCGTATATCGGCAATAATACGGCGAATGTTGGCTTCCAAATGGTCAAGCGTTTGTGGCTTATCCGCAGAGACCAATGACTTTACATAGCCTCACAGAAAGTAGTCTAGTGGTGTTAAATCACAAGATCGTGGAGGCCAATTCACAGGTCCAAAACGTGAAATTAGGCGGTCACCAAACGTGTCTTTCAATAAATCGATTGTGGCACGAGCTGTGTGACATGTTGCGCCGTCTTGTTGAAACCACATCTCCTGGACATCATGGTTATTCAATTCAGGAATGAAAGAGTTAGTAATCATAGCTC